GTGTGTGTGTGTAAAATATCAAGTAATAGACTCATAATCGTTATATAATGATTGGAACATCGTAAGTTAGATTAATAAATTCATGCAAATGCATTTTTAACGTTTGTAAAGTGTCTTACTTGTGTCGAGGTAATCTGACTGACTAATTAAAACATATCGATCGAAACTATTCACAACGACTGAAAAACTTAAAACAAAGATATATCAATATAACATTTTCGGAAGTTTATCCAAAAGAAGTCACAGTACACACACACACACACACACACACGGGCGGGTGCAAGGAGGTGGCCTTCGGCCACCCCCCCGCACCCACACCGTCACAGAGGTCTGCCCCGACAGTACAATCACAGCAATAGTACAATCGTAGAAGTCGTGTGCCCCTGTGCAGGGGAGGGGGGAGGGGTAAAAGTTACTTCGCGTGGAAAGTTCAACGTTTCTGAACAGGGAAAGGTGTAGAATAGGACTTCATATTATACATGTATAGCAGAAATAATACGTTAATTTTGAAACTTTTTTTGTTAATAACTTTTTAACGAGTTAGGTCCGACGGTTAAAACTTCCTCAAGGTCACTCAGGGTCATGACCTTGACAACATATGTCAAGGTCAAGGTCATTGGGGGAGGCTCCCCTAATCTACATTTTTACCTAAATTTTATTACATAACACTTAATAATAAAAAAAATAATACTTTCACGGTGACTATTGTGTCTTTGCAAAATGTCTTGTTAAAACTCAAATTGTTTTCACAGCCAACAATATACAACGCATTAATTAAAAATTGCTTTTTTTTTAAGAATTGTTCCAACAATATCTAAATATTTTCTTTGGCTATAACGTCTCTCTCTTTAAGAGCTAATTCTTTTTGATAAAGCTCGAGTTTTTTTTCATAATACATCTTTCGTGTTTCACCATCTTCGTGTGACCAGTTTCTCAGTTTGTTCTATTGACTGTGAATATCTGAAAGCAGCGGAAGTTCTTTTAGTACCAGATTTTTTCGGAATTGATTTAGCATTTAGCATTACGTTGGAAATGCTGTTAGCTGCAATGATTGGTGCTTTTAATACACCTTTCTTTGAATTTTCTGAATATTTTGAATTATTATTTCTATTATCGTTTTTATTTAAATATTTTTCAGACATATTTTTTTCTGTTGTTTTTTCATGAGAACTGTGAAAAGGTAATGACTTCAATGAAGTAGAATAATCTTGCATTACTTCTTGAGAGTCACATTGTACAGAATTTTCCACAATTTCTTCGTCATGTGATAGGTACTCCAAATTACATACTTCTGGTTCATTATTCCAATCCTACAACATAAAAATTATATGTGTATATAGAACAAACAAAACTGCGATAAGTGTTCACGAGTGATTTTTCTTCACAACGTGAAGAAACGAAACCATGAACACTCATCGCAGTTTTGTTTGTTCTATATACATATATAATTTTTATAACTTGACTTTTGCGAGATCTCTACAATACATCATTTCATATGATCCATCCAGGTATTTAATTTATTTGACTTGATTTAAAATTTATATATATATCTACAGTTCGAATCATTCTTATCTTCGAATTATCATCTTGTTTACAAATTGCACGTTGGATTCCTGTACTGAATTATGTCCTTCCACAACAGTTGGACCAATAAGTGCCAAAATGTTTTGATCTATTTCTGTTAAGACTTGACTTGAGGCAGGCCCTCCACCAGTACCTTGAACATGTTTCTTGATAGAAGTATTTTTGGCTTTAGTTGCATTTCGCATATCTTGCCAAGTCTACATAGCAAAAAAAACTTATTTAAATACATTGCTGTTTTACATAGTAAATAGTGGCAAAATTTCTTTGATACAGTTTGTTGAAGATAACATTATACATATAAATAACTTCTAGTTTTTCTGTTATTTGGGCAATATTTACATATTTCTTTGTAAAATTAGATTACAGAGAAATTCTTTCACAAGATAATGATTCTGTAATATAAGATCAGTTCAATATTATATGTATACCTTTCTCCACTTACTCCACTCTTTTATTGCACCAGGTATCTGATGTAATTGTGCTGTTATTTCTTCCCATAATTTTTGAGCATCTTTATAAGTAAAAGAGGCAGAAAATTTTCCACTTTGTAGCTCAGGATGTTTATTCATAAATTCTAAAATTCAAAAAAAAATACGTATTATGAAGTCTCAATAAGGGTGCCGTCACATACAGCCCGCAATCCGTAATCCGCACCGAATGTTCGCAAAAGTAGTAGAGATTGCGTCCGTAACGTTACGTGTATTTTATCTCCTTATGTCCCATGGAGCCGTAATTCCGTAAAAGTTACCAGTTTTTACTAGTAATGCTTTTTCTAATTTTATCTATTTGACTAAATTTGACGGTTTAAGTAAAGTTTTTGTTATAATCAAGATATATTCTGCAGTTTTCTTATAAAATAAATTAAAAATAATCAATATAACTTGTTAAATAAAAAAATAATGTAAAGCATTACTAGTAAAAACTGGTAACTTTTACGGAATTACGCCTTCATGGGACATAAGGAGATAAAATACACGTAACGTTACGGACGCAATCCCCAGTAACTTTTGCGGCCATCCGGTGCGGATTACGGATTGCGGGCTGTATGTGACGGCACCCTAAGGATAAATTGTAAAAAAAAATTGCGAACGTTAAGCGAATCCTTTTCGATCTGAATGTATTTTTAATTTATTCTTTTGTACAATTATCAAGCAGTTCTAAAATGTGTTATTGTAAATTAAAAAATATAATTGTGATTCTTTAACCTATTTCAATACGTTCTTGTTTACTTCGAAGTTACTTACCAATTAAAACAGTTTTCTGTTCATCATTAATATATGTGCATCGTTTCTTTACTATAGTTGTCTCCAATTCCATTTTGATTTTTTATCACTGATTACTATTAATGTACGCTTTTAACTATTACAATTTACATTTCATTATCACGATTTGATAAATTAAAAAATACGTCACATGATTTATTACGTGACTGATTCTTATATATCTCGATCGTGATTGGTTATTATATTATTTCAAAATTTGGCAACGCTGTATGACAATCGTATACGAGATTTATCACATATAGCATATCGCATGGCAATAAACGATTGTAGAGAATACGATTTCGAAATCGCATACGATAAATATCGCACAAGTTCAATAATCAACCCCCAGGATAGAGTTACTATAATCAGAGTTAAGACACATGGCCGGAAGGACGCCATTTATAAGTCTAGCCGGAAGTGATTGTGCGCGCGGTTTTTCGAAACATGAAAATCGTTTACAGCAATCCCAGCAAACAAAAAAGAATGCGAGGAATTAAAATTTCAATTCCAATCAAATTTTTTTAAATTCCATTGAACACTTCGGAATATACAGGAATATAGTCCTCGGGCTGCATAATACACATTATATATTATGCAGAGTACATAAAACAATCTTTTCATTAAATTGTAATAAATATTAAGTTTTACATATCTCTCGAGCGTGTCCAAAATTTTTACGCCGATTTTTAAGAATTATAGATAACTTTTCAGGTAATTTTTTTTGCAGAAATATTTTTTAACTTAGTAGCCACCGAATAAGTGATTATGGATAAATTCTGCCGCTAGGAAGTATTTAAAAATAAATGCAGAAGTTATGAATTATATGGCAGGTTAGATATATGACAGGTATAGGTTCTCTAACCTGTCATTTAATACATAAATTCTGCATCTATTTTTAAATACTTCCTAGCAGCAGAATTCATCCATAATCACTCATTCGGTGGCCACAAAGTCAAAAAATATTTCCGTAAAAAAAATTATCTGAAAAGTTGGTTATAATTCTTAAAGATTGGCACAAAAATTTTCTCGGTTTTCGCTCGCCTCTGAACACGCTCGAGGGCCCTTAAATATGCTTTTAACAATTAATCACAAATATGAGTAAATAAATAAAAATAAAACATATTCTAAATAAATATTTAATGGAATTCATACAAAGCCTTTTTCGGTAGTTCTTCACAATTCTGACAACTTCTGACAGATCAATTTTGGTGCTAAATCAACTACTGAATAACTTATACACACAAACAAAAGATGATGTTCACCTATTCACTGTTATTCACTAACACTATCAAACTATGAGAAAATGGCGGCGGGGCTCTCAACCAATCAGAAGTTGAACAGCATGTGTCTTAACCCTTATTGACCCAATTTGTCCGTTTTTGTCCGTCAATTTTAAACACGGACAACTTTGTTATTTATGCTTAAAAAAATCTGAAAATTTGTAGGCGGGTATTTTCAAGTGTGCTCTTTCAGAATCCGGCACGGAAAAAACCACCCCTTCCTACCCTATTTTTCAATTTAAAAAAAAAACATGATTTTTTAAGGTAACTTTTTTTTTTAAATCGTATTTTCGATGCGAAAGAGGTCTTGGCGATAGCTGAAACCACGAAAACTCCGGCTCAAAATGTCTAAATAATAAAGTTATACACACAAAAAATTCATTTTTCATCATAAAGGGGTTGTGCGACCACACCTAAAATAACGTTTTTACAAAAATCGCTATTTTACGGATTTTTCTGAAAAAAAATTGTTTCGGCTTTTGAAAACAGGTAAAAATGGGGGAAAACATATCACAAATAGTAGAAAACATCTTTTCTTTTGTTATCTAAGGTTAAATTTTGTTACCACCTCATAAAATAGCCAAAAGGGGTGAAAATCGGCAGTTTTTCAAAAATACTATTTTCGATACGAAAAAATTGCAAATAAATTTAGTTAAACAAAGAAAACAAAAAAGAAACAAAAAGAAACAAAAAAAACAAAAAATAAAAAACAAACAAAAAAAGGTTCTTTATAAACGTCTACCTCCACGCGGTAAGAACTGGAAACATTTGTATTGAAGAAATGGCTAAAGACGTTCCATATGCAAGTACATACAAAAATGTCGAGCCTGTTTATCAAAAAATCATTGAAATAGAACTCTATGTAAATTAAATTCTACAGATTTTCAAAATTTCGACCTAACTAATCTTTTACTAATTTTTAGAACTACATTTATTTGCAATTTTTGATACCACAAACAGTATTTTTTAAAAACTGCCGATTTTCACCCCTTTGGGCTATTTTATGGGATGGTAACGAAATTTAACCTTAGATAATAAAAGAAAAGATGTTTTCTACTATCTGTGATATGTTTTCCCCCATTTTTACCTGTTTTCAAAAGCCGAAACAATTTTTTTTCAGAAAAATCCGTAAAATAGCAATTTTTTGTAAAAACGTTATTTTAGGTCGCACAACCCCTTTATGATGAAAAATGAATTTTTTGTGTGTATAACTTTATTGTTTAGACATTTTGAGACGGAGTTTTCGTGGTTTCAGCTATCGCCAAGACCTCTTTCGCATCGAAAATACGATTTAAAAAAAAAGTTACCTTAAAAAATCATGTTTTTTTTTTAAATTGAAAAATAGGATAGGAAGGGGTGGTTTTTTCAAAATTTTCGTACCGGATTCTGAAAGAGCACACTTGAAAATACCCGCCTACAAATTTTCAGATTTTTTTAAGCATAAATAACAAAGTTGTCCGTGCTTAAAATTGACGGACAAAAACGGACAAATTGGGTCAATAAGGGTTAAGTGAATACAATTTTTTTAAATTAATACAGAAGTGTATTTGTCACTATATCATTCCGCTTTTCCGCGAAAATTATGTCCCATGTAACATTAAGCGTCCTCTACAATGACCGTAAAGGTACCTTTTCATGCGTCGCTCATCGCTCATTTTTCAGCGACATAGTGACGTCACGTAATCGCTGGCGACGTGTTTTGTAGATGGATTTTCCCAACGACTAGCGATATCTTAAAATGGATGAAGAAGTAAGTATAATATTGAAATATATATAAAATTAAGTAATTTATTACTTAATTGTTGATTTGTATGTATATTGGAAAATTATATTCAAAATATATCTGTATAGAGCGAGTTTAATTATGTCCAAACGTGTGGATTGTGCGAAACAATTTGTAACCTCAATAATGTGGCTACACATGACTGTTTGAGAGGATATTTCAATTATACCACTGATGAAAATTTATACTTTTATCCCTTACTAGGTAGAGAATTTTTACAAACTGCTTTAATTATGGTTACACAATTAATATTAAATTTATTGTATAATATTTAAGATGATGGTGTAACAATTGTCAGGAGAAGTTTGGTTCAAGGCTCAGAAGTAATAGCAACAGTACCCTTGCAGAGCAATAATATTGGTAAGATAAGTATTATGAATCCTTGAAATTTGAAGAATATTTATTAAATAAAATTTAATATTTATTAAATAAAACCACATTGTATTTATCCAATGTACATACATTATTGATTCAAACAATATCCAGCCTACATTAAACACAGGTCAAAAGAAAGAAAAATTATCTCTCGAAGAAGAAGGAACGTTAATATTAGAAGTACAATGTAGACAACCATTATGGAATTTCCGGTTACCTCTCGCTCAAAGAAATAATAAAATTACAAAATGTTTGTGGCAAGAAGCATCAAACGCTATAAACGGTAATAAGTCCATCTAATTTTTCTAATATTTTAAGAAATATTTATTTTTATAGAATATTTTTACAGGAAAATTAAATGCAATTGGATGTAAAAATAAATTTAAAAATTTCCATGACATCTATAGAAGATTGATAAATTCTGAAAAACTACCAAATGGATCAGCTTCGAAAAGTAATATATATAAGTGGAGACATGCTAAAATTATGGAATTTCTTCGAGATTCTTGTTTACAAAAAAGGTAAATAATGTATTTATATATAATACTTTGTTATTATGTATTATAAGTTCTAAATATATAAGAATAAACAATTATTTTCCTTTTTATGTAAAATAATAAATTTTATTTTTTATAGGACTATTTCAAATATTAATGATGAAGAGAGTAATAGTAATGATGTTCATGAAAGTAATAATGAAGCTAATGAAAATTCGAGCGTTTCAGAAGGTATGAAATAATTATTACAATTACTTTTATTATAACATTTAAAAAATTTATTAATTTTAATTGTACTTTTAAGGCAATTATTTTCGGGGCTTAGAAGTAACAGCAACGGTACCCTTGCAGAGCAATAATATTGGTAAAATAAGTATTAATAAAATTTAATATTTACTAAATAAAAACACATTGTATTTATCCAATCATATATTATTGATTCAGAAAATATCCAGCCTATATCAAACACACGTCAAAATAAGTATTATAAATGGCTAATTAATTGCAAAAACATTATAAACGATAATATTAAAGAAAGACAAAGAAAATTAACTACATTTACTATTTGTTCTTGCTTGGAAAAGAAAAAACGATCTTATACTAACAAACGTTTTTGGGTTAATCCGTTGTTTGAATTAAGGAAAAAACATGGATTTTATAATGTACTTTTACCTACAATTTCTCGGCAAATAAGTACATTTAGAAATTATTTTCGTATGAATTTAACTCAATTCGAAGAATTATCCATCCTCCTCTTATTTTGAACATAATCGGCAGGAGAGGGTTGCAGTCGACCGGTGTACCACTATTGATTAAAATACGAGTTTTAGGAAGTAGATATAGAGATTTATTATACGCAGTTACAGGCAATTCGAGATAACAATTTTCGGTTGGTCGGCGTGCAACTTCCATGGGTACACATTTGATTATGTGAGCTACTTCGCCCGACATGGTGGCCATATACCCGGGACCCTTCATTAGATTATACGCAAATGCGTCGGGTTGATCGTGAGCTAGAGATATTACATTTTTTAACACTTGTTGTTCTAATTTGCATTTCTGGTCGAGAATGTTATGGTATAGATCTTGCATTTGTGTTTTTAAGTGTTTTTCTACA